ATACGGGACCCATGCTCTCTATCAAGATAGAGAGCATGAGACTGTGTCCAGCTGCACCAGTGGACTGTCTCTTATTGGGCCCTGCTGGGTTACCCCTTCTAATCTAGCGCCCCCTTCTGGTTGAGCTAAGAAGTGCTCCCCTCTCTGCGAGGGTTAGCTAGGAGTCACTCCGTGGCAGTGACATCAGGTAGTTGGGCCGCTTGCTGCTTCCCTGATAAGCTGCCTCTATTCGGGTCAATTCAGGCAGTGCTCCCCTCACCTCAGAGGGTTGTCTTTGAGCCTGCCGCTCCTGATTGAGTAGCTGAGGACTTCTGGGCATCTGTGAGCAGATCTCTATAAAATCCATACTATGGTAAGTGCACACGCTAAGCTTCGGTGCACTTTCTAAAATCCACATGGTGGTAAGCGTGCACGCTAATCTTCGGTGCACTTTCTAAAATCCACATGGTGGTAAGCGTGCACACTAAGCTTCGGTGCACTTTCTAAAATCCACATGGTGGTAAGCGTGCACGCTAATCTTCGGTGCACTTTCTAAAATCCACATGGTGGTAAGCGTGCACGCTAAGCTTCGGTGCACTTTCTAAAATCCACATGGTGGTAAGTGTGCACGCTAAGCACTCGGAGCACTTTCTAAAATCCTGTATGGTAAAGGTTATGCCTTGTTAGGCTCGTTCCTTTTCTCTGAGTTGTGTTAAGTCCCTGGTACTCGCCTTGGACTCCACTCAACTAGTGCGTCTCTGTTGATTAGGGCTGGGTATGGAGTTCGATACTTTTAAGGCACCGACCGAATTGCCTCGATACCATCAAATATCGAAAAACGTCTCGTCGTTCAGTACCAAATTTCGATACCTAAGGGGTTAATCTCATCAGCGTCAGTGATCCAATAAGCCTGCAGCACTAGCCGGTGTGTTCGACTAGAAGAGGTGTGGCGCAGATCGATCAGTGTTTGACAATGACTGTTATGTGACCATTCATGCAAACTGTAGCATCATGCTACATAAGACAATAAATAAGATTTATATTCCGCTTTTACTCAAAACTCACTTTAAACCACCATTGAGTGTTTATAATAACTTCCAATTGCCGTCTAATATGTGTTTTGGCCATCTAATGTAGCTGAAATTAAATATATTATTACCTCCGAGTCAGAGCAGCGATCATGGAAGAGAGAACACAAGCAGACAGCGCTGGAAGCTGCTAATGCTCATCAGTAAATCAGTGGAAAATAAATAAAAATCATGACTCTGTCTGAGCTATGCGTTTTAAAATGAACACTAGCTAGTGTAAATGTAGCCTAACAGATGTGTAAACTGAAGACTATTTTAGCTTTATTAAAACTATTTTGCACTGATTTATTGTGTTGGTTACATTTTGTTCCTTTGTGCAGTGGCTCAGGAGATGAGTCTTTGAATTTGCATAAACATCAACAAGCTGAAAAATAAAACCAATGTTTTTTTTTTTTTTAGATAATGTAATCTTGTTCAAATTTATTTCATAAAATTGGTATCGGAAAAAGTATCGTTCAGGAACCGGTATCGAAGTCAAGGTAACTTTCGATATCGAACATTTTTGAACGATACTCCACCTATGTATCCTCAGGATACCTACTTTAACAAGGTGTTGCTACTAGGGGTCTGTTGAGACCGTTCCTTCAGCAAGCGGTAGCCCCCTGGGTGACAGGCCAAGACCTAGTACGATTCTAGGCACTTGGTCGTATCCCTTTAAAGGAATCTATTCCTGATTCCAAGCCTTGAGCTCTACCCCGGGTCCAGGAGTTCTGGCCCTAACAGGTAAGTTTTTTGGGGTATGTAGCTTAGACCTTTGGCCGTAGAGGATAATGTCACTGACAGCCGTCTAACGTCCCAGGGGCAACTCCCTTAAAGCTTTGGTAGAGTTGGTACTTGGTACTCGCCTGTGGTTTGGCATGCACTCCCCTCAGCATGGTGGCGTGGGTATACCGTTCCCCATAGCGACCCCTAGAGGACTCATTTCAAAAGTTCCCTTGAAAGGGAACGACTCGGGTTACCATGGTTCCCTGAGTAGGGAACGAGACACTGAGTCCTCTAGGTTTCCTGCCATGCTTCGGACGCAAGCTTCAGAAGAAGAAGCTGATGACGTGTTCTCCAGGCTCGCCTGTGGTTTGGCATGCACTCCCCTCAGCATGGTGGCGTGGGTATACCGTTCCCCATAGCGACCCCTAGAGGACTCATTTCAAAAGTTCCCTTGAAAGGGAACGACTCGGGTTACCATGGTTCCCTGAGTAGGGAACGAGACACTGAGTCCTCTAGGTTTCCTGCCATGCTTCGGACGCAAGCTTCAGAAGAAGAAGCTGATGACGTGTTCTCCAGGCGCCTATTTATACTATAGTCGCACCAGTAGTGACGTCATAGGCTGTCGCCGGCCAATGTTATTGTCGTTTTTAGATATATGCTTCAGACACCAGTCACACTGAAGGTGTTCCCCATAGCGACCCTTAGAGGATGCAGTGTTTCGTTCCCTACTCAGGGAACCATGGTTACATTCGTAACCTGAGACGCTTTCACTTCTGTTATGTGCTTTTGTCATTTTTGTTTAATTCTTTTAATATTACTATGAAGGTTTGATTTTCAGATAAAGTTTTTTTTATTTATTCCCAGTTAGTAATATTAGTGCTTTATTAGTTAGTTGCCAAGGCAACATTACTAACCATAATTACATTTTATCTATCGAATTATCAATACCATCATCATTTAGTTTTTTCTATTTAATTATTTCAGCTTTATTTCAATTAAAATATATTTTTTAATAGTTTTAGTTTATGATAACCCCGCTATTATTAATTTGTTAATACTTGCTTATTCACACTATTGTTTACAGTGCCAATGAATATAACAAAAAAGCATAACAAAAACAAAACATGAATGAGAAGAATGTGTGTGTTTTGGAGTGATGGAAGCTGGGTAAAGCAGAGTAACAGTGTGGGAGAAGCTCAAATCGAGAGATGAGAAGAATTGCACAGGTGGAGACAATAGAGAGGTACAAAAGCTCGCTCAATGGGTTTGGTCAATGCATAGACACGCGCGTACAGAAACACGTCTGGCTTTTTCCCATCAATTCAAAAGTACTGCTCAGTCATCAATCACATTCAGTGCCCAGCCTCAAAACTGCATTCTGCTCACTCTAAACCAACAGAGAGCTGTGCTACAGCAACAATACAGGAGCAACTGGTAGAAACTGGTTATTTTTAATGCAACATCGGTTAAGTCAGACATTTATTCATTTCTGAGGCTGGCCATGTGGGTTTGGACAGTGCTGACGCCTTAATCTGTAACTTTTCACATTATTCTGCATAACTGAATCCAAAACATTCCAGTCTGTCCCGGATCAAAACCCCAACCAGCATACAAGAAAATCCATTGCATACCCTCAAAATTTCAAAAACAACTGTGTGCATGCACTTATGAATCATAGTCTATTTAAAGACAACTATCAAGCAGAAGTATGCATCTTAAAACCAAGTGAGCTGCCCTACCTAGACAACATTTTTTAACATCATAAGCACACAAAATCAAGTGTTTCCAGTTACTGAATCTCTTAATGTACATTACATTGTATTCTGGTCTGTCATCATCTGGACTCTTACCCATTCGGATTTCATTCTAATGTAGTATGTTTTAAAGCTTTAATAACATCTAGTTATATTCTGAACACATGTTTAAAGTGTGAGGGTGTCCCAAGGTTTTCCACTCTCTATTAGAACCTCCATCAACACGTTTAACCCTTTGGTGCCCTTCGGTAATTTTTTGATCAATTTTGACCTTATTCTGAATAGTATGAAATTGGTAAAGGTTTTGGCACTTGCTATGTGAACACACACACATACACATGACTCAAAAAGGTTAAACTATCCCGAAAGAAACGGTCAAAAATGAAATCAATTTCATCTAGTGGAATAATTTTGTACTGCGCCCAAATAAAATCTTTAGGAAATCTTTCTTTTTTTGTTTTTGCGGTATTAACCTCTAATTCGGAACACAACTCGTTAAGACGTATGGCTTTGTTTTTCTCGTAATCTTAGAGTACAATATGTATTGGAAAATATATTTCACATAAACATGTTTTAAAAAATCGTCTTTTCACGCATTTTTCATAAAACTTTTTTTCTTTTTAAATTTCACTTTGCGTGTTTTTTTTTTGTTTGTTTTTGTTTTTTCACTTCAGCAATAATGTTAAGTGCTCCAAAGCATTCAAGATTTAGGACAGTTTAAGTTGGAAATTTCATTTTTTGGGTTTATGCTCAAAAAGGAATTAACAGGCAATAAGTAGATTAGTACTGCATAAACATAACGTAGTACCACAAAAATACCCTAAAAACACTATATATAAAAATTAACTACTACATAAACATAACGTAGTACCACAAAAATACCCTAAAAATACAAAATAATAAGTTTAAAAAAAACGTTATCAGACTAAACACCTAGTCTCATTTGTTCTCTTTGACCTTTGTGATAGAGTAAAAACAAATATGTCTGAACTTCCTTTGGTTTTACTGTTTCTTAAGTTTGTCTAGTTTAATCTCCCTCATGTACAGCATTTTGGTGCACTATGTATTTACTAATGTGCTTTAAAAGAAAGAAAGAAAACACTGAAAAGGGGGCTTTGAGTGATGGAGAACTACAAACGCACTGCTCCTCTGAATTAAGCTGCAGTGTTACAGCTGTTGTGTTGATTCAAATTACATATTAGATCCTTTTCATCACTTAAACAAGCTGAAACATTCCGTTTTTCTCTCATTTCTGCGTAGGATAGTCAGGCTTTTCAGTAAAGCATCCGGATGCAATAAAAGAGCTCGAGAGCAGCAGTGACAGTGAAAGACTGAAGGATGCTGAACTGATGCTATGTTTCTCACGCCTCTCCTGAAGTACGCAAACGCACAGGATGAGTATATCACTTCTAAACAGACACAGCCCAGTAGCGGGACATATTTAGTTATAATATTAAGGAACATAAAGACTTACCTGGTAAATGTCTGGCGCGCGGTCAGGAGTAATCACAACTCAGCGTTTGGCACCTGCGCGGATGACGTCAAAATCACGCACGCGTTCAGAGCGAGCGCGGAGAGAGTCGCTGCTCTTCTGTCACAAACTCTGTCCGCTTCCGAACGCAGACCTGAGTGAGACACTTTCAGCGCCTCAGTCTTTTAGGCTGTGCGCTCCATGTGACCAAATTCCCACACCGCCCAGTTTTTTTCGAACTTTTCCCGAGAATGTTTCCGCTGTAGATGAAGGAGCATCACATGCCACGTGTTGCTGTCAAAATAAAGGCTGGGGCTGGCACGCGAGGCGTGTCGAGGGGGTGGGATGAAAGAGAAATATGATTTTAAAAGCAAATATGTATAACGTGTTGTGCCAGTGCGCCACCTGCTGGCGGTGATAAATAATGAGAAAATCGTGTTAATTCTGCAGTTAAGATGTAAGATTCTAAAATCGCCTTAAAACAAAATAAATCGCTACTTTTATTCGGAAACTGATCAAAAGTGACAGTAAAGGCATTTATAATGTTAAAAATGATTTCTATTTCGAATAAAGTGTGTCCTTTTCAACTTTCTATTCATCAAAGAATCGAAAAGAAAAACAAAAATATCACAATTTCAACAAAAAAATATTAAACAGCTCCGCTGTTTTTAACGTGATGATAATAATCGTGAGTACCAGATCAGCATATTAGAATGATTTCTGAAGGATCACGTGACTGGAGTAATTGTAAATTGTAAGAACATTTCAGAAAATTACTGCTTTTACTGTATTTTGGTCAAATACATGCAGCAAATAATTATACAATATTGATCAATTAAAAATAACATTATTATTTGAAAATCATTTTAAAAACACTATGAAAAATAATATTAATATTACAAATCTACCAAAAACTGTCCCATGCAGTTCACCAATAGCCAAAAAAACATTGTTTTATGCCTAAAATCATTAGGATATTAAGTAAAGATCATGTTCCATTAACATATTTTGTAAATTTCCTACAACAAATATATATAAAAAATTTGATTAGTAATATGCATTGCTAAGACCTTCATTTGAACAACTTTAAAGGCGATTTTCTCTGTATTTTGTTTTTTTTGCACCCTCAGATTCCAGATTTTCAAATAGTTGTATCTCAGCCAAATATTGTCCTATCCTAACAAACCATACATCAATGGAAAGCTTTCAGATTTTATTCAGGTTTCAGATGATGTATAAATCTCAATTTCAAAAACTTGACCTTTATGACTTTGTGGTCCAGGGTCACATATATATATATATTCATTTGGTGTCTCAGATCTCACAAGATCAGTCTAAATCAATCAGTACAATCTCCAAACACACAAGATCAAACAGTCTGGGGCAGCAGCACTGAGGTTATAAAAGGTTGTTGTTCTGCTTCTGTGTTTTGGAAAATTAAGGCATTATGGGCAATTCCCACCCCTATCCGGAATGCTGAATCCCTGACAATTTTCAAGCGACAGCTGAAAACTCATCTCTTTCGAAGCTACTTGACTTCATCATAAAAAAAAAAAAATAAATAAAAAAAAATTATTTATTCCTTCTCTTTCTAGCTTGTACTTATTTGAACAATGTCTAAGAACTTGGTATTACAACCACTTCTTGTGTCTGTTTGCCTCTCTTAAGAAGAATCGCTTTATGTATCCCCCAATTGTAAGTCGCTTTGGATAAAAGCGTCTGCTAAATGACTAAATGTAAATGTAAATGTAAATGACATTGGCCTGTTATCATGTTCTCAAGAGTAATTATTTCATTTGTTGCATACAAATAGGTGTTGACTAATGAAAGACAGTGTGGGAATAACAACAGAACTGCCTAAAGCAGGTGCTGCAAGGCATTTAGTCTTCAGACTGGCCTATGAAGAAAATCTGAATGATTCAAATAGTGAAAGTAACAAGCAAACCAATGTTTTTCATTATTTATTTGATCATTATCAAAATCTGTGAGTACCTTACATACTGAAATACATACTGTGTGTCAATAAAAATATATTATCTTTTTCCATTATTTGATAACTGTGTGATAACGATTCGACAATCTGTACAACAAAATGCAGTCAGCTACTTCAGTTCCCAGATAATTAAAAACAGAAGAAAAAGCGAGTTAATGATGGAATTCGATGAACGCCGGCATCTTCCACAACCATTTTTATAGCCAACATAAACCATCACCATCACCTCCGGCTCCTGTCTTAAAACCTGTGCACATGTGCTTTGACATAATAAACACAAGCTGACTTCATTTTAAGGTGTCAGTTTCAACTTGTAAAATCCTAAGAGCTCATGATTGATGTGTAATATTTTAAGTTCTTTTTGTAAGCATAAAAAAGTAATATTAAAGCTTAGAACAAGAAAAAAACATCACATACGTAAAACATATGTGACCCTAGAGCACAAAACCAGTCTTAAGTCGCTGGGGTATATTTGTAGCAATAGCCAAAAATAAATTTTATTGATTTTTCTTTTATGCCAAAAATCATTAGGACATTAAGTAAAGATCATGTTCCATGAAGATATTTTGTAAATTTCCTACTGTAAATATATCAAAACTTAATTTTTGATTAGTAATATGCATTGCTAAGAACTTCATTTGGACAACTTTAAGGCGATATTCTCAATAATTAGATTTTTTTGCACCCTCAGATTCCAGATTTTCAAATAGTTGTATCTCAGCCAAATATTGTCCTATCATAACAAACCATACATCAATGGAAAGCTTATTTATTCATCTTTCAGATGATGTATAAATCTCAATTTTGAATAATTGACCCTTATGACTGGTTCTGTGGTCCAGGGTCACATATATAAACTTAGCTTAAGATATATTCTCTGAAATTTTACCTAGTACAATTTTGCTCCTTAAACAAAGTATTATTCTTGTTTTATAATGTTTACAGGAAAACAAGACTAAATACTGCTCAAGATTTTTTTCCCCCCCACTGTGAGTGAATATGCATGCAAATCATGATGTTCTTCTGATCCTGAAGACTGATCTTGCATTAATTCATATTTTCAGTTCAATATGGTTTTGGATATAGATTTAAATCATTTATATAAAGTCAAAAACCATGTTTAACCCACCACAACATATCACTGATTTTTTTCACTGAGCAGGAGACTTTTACTCATACAAAGGAGTTTGAAACCGCACAGCAATACTTTCCCCATCCTAAAGCTGAACATAATGTTGAACGCTGGGTTTGCTACACAATTAACATGAACCTAATACAGACAGATTAAACACTTGGCGACAACTGCATTAAGCGCTTACAGATACTTGATAATGCTTGCAAAGACTGCGGCTCTGATTATTACAGTATATGATGTGGCGATCAGCTAAGCCAGCGCAACAGATAAATGACAACTGTGATGAGCGTCTGAAAAAAAGAAAAAGAAAAAGAAAAAACCGGACGGTTTTAACCATCTCTTACATCCAGATCCTCAGGATATGTAGCGTTGGCAATGTTGCTACAAATCTGAAACCAAAATGGAGGTAAGCTTTACAAAGATGTTAAAATTGAGTAAGTCATCTTAGATAAAGTCAATAGCGTAATTCAGTGTGGCTTCATCACACGTGAGTGGGTCAAACCCAACTGTGTGCAACGTCTGCAAGAGATACTGTAAGGTGAGGAGTGCACATGCTTGGTGGAGGATGTGAAGGAGTTTTTATGGCTTTATATTTGTGTTCGTGAGGAGGGCAGTGGTTTTGTGTGTAGTGTAAAGTGGCAGTACAGGCAGACTGTATTATGCGTTGATTAGTGGTTGAGCCTGTAGTGTCAGTGAACAAGAACTGGTGGAAGCTCTCAAACTGGTGCCACATAATTGCCAGGGAATGTTCCAAAAGCTTGGGTCCTCTCAGACGTACCTGGCAGGAAAAGAAGAATATAAAGTCATTTAAGCAAGAAAACTTGTGACACAAAGCAGCTACCACTTTGCTAGCACATTATGGCAAATGACAGTACTGTAATGTGAGAATTGGCTGAGAGAGGGCAGCACAGGGCAGGGCTTTGCACTGAGACCACACTTAAAACCTATAAAAGATACATCTTTCAGTTTTGTTATAGTATATTATATATCATATTATCAAATATTACTTTTATTCATTAAGGATGCATTAAATTGACAAAAGTGACTGTAAAGACATTTCTAATGTTACAAAAGGATTTTAATTCAAATAAATGCTGTTCTTTTGAACTTTATTCATCAAAGAATCATGAAAAAATGAGTGCGGTCTAACGATTAATCGCGATTAATCGCATCCAAAATAAACGTTTTTGTTTACATAATACATGTATGTGTACTGTGCTTATGTATTATGTATATATAAATACACACACATTCATTATATATTTTGAAAATATTTATATATAAAATATTTACATATCCTACATATACATTTATATATTTATATTATTATATTATATATAAATATGTTTAATATATAAACAAAGTTTTTAAATATATACATGCATTTGTATATACATAATAAATATACAGTACACACACATATATATTATGTCAACAAAAACTTTTATTTTGGATGCGATTAATCGCGATTAATCGTTTGACTGCACTAGAAAAAATATATTTCCACAATTAAGCAGTACTGTTTTCAACAACGATAATAATCAGAAATGGTTCTTGAGCAGCAAATCAGCATATTGCTATGCTCAAATATTTCCATAGCAGTCTTTTAGTGTGTATTTGTATTCTATATAATACTATAGGCCTTAAATATTATTAATGTCCATTTCAGACTAACCTGCCCCTACAAATCTGTACAACTACGCTAAAATAACATCAATAGTTTTAAACGATTGAAGTCAATTTAACCATTGCAACATTATAATTAAAATATAATTACCAAATGCGAAATTATAATATGAGGTGATAATCAATATATCAATATATAATTCATTCCAGTGGTTGATCTCTTTACAAAGTCAAACAGACCTATCCTGTACTATATAAGTGGGCAGTTTTTGGCCTGAATGAGCTGTAAAGTGAAGCAAACTTAAAGGGCCATTACCTACAAACCAGCCGTCATCACACTTCTCTAGGACCTGAACGATATCTCCTTCTCTCAATTCCAGCTCGTCTCTATTCTGGGGTTTATAGTTGTAAACCGCTTTATACCTGAATGCAAAGAGAAAGAGGGAATGAAAAAGAATAACAAATGGTCAAGAGTGAAAACTGTAGCTGGATTAACCCTAGAAGTGTATTTTCTACATTCTTAAAGGGATGTAGAGTTCACACAAAAATAAACATTCTGTCGTATTCCGTCACATTTTTTCATGTTCTAAACCTTATGACTTTTACATGATGATTTAGTTTACTTAACTACTCCTTTAATCAGTCATAAAACTAATAAATTATATTTCTATGTTTGCTTGAATTAGGTCTACAGTAACGAACGATGTCCTGTATACTCACGGTTGTCGTGAATAACCCGTGTTCACGGGAGACTGTGATGTGGAAGGAATTTTAACCTCTGCATTGGGCTGTGGATATTGTGTTCTGGTCCCATCCTAAACATGATTGTTGTAGTTTTATTTATTTAGATTTTTCCCCCAAAAAAATATGCAATATGGCTTAAGTGTTATTCATGGCAACATTTTTTTCCCCATTTTTAACGAGTTTTTATGCTGTTACTTGTGATTAGCTGATATTGATTTTTCACTTTTGATCCTTACTGTGTGTATAGTATAATTGAATGAAAATGCATGAACTACACAAATAAAATAGCTTAAAATAAATAAACATTTATTTACCACAATACAAAAATATTCTACCATTCAAACGTTTGGGGTCAGTAAGGTTTGTTTTCTTTTTTTATGTTTTTAAAAGATTTGAAAGAAGTCCTTTATGCCCACCAGCTGCATTTATTTTATAAAAATGCAGCATATTCATTTTTAATTTCATACAATTATATAAAATTATAATGAATATAATATAAAATTAATATTGTGAAATATTATTACAATTTAAAATAACTGTCATTTATTACTGTAATGCAAAGCTGAATTTTTCTTCAGTCTTCAGTGCCACGTGATCCTTCAGAAATCATTCTTATATGCTGATTTGATGCACAAAGGGGGGAAAAAATATATTATTATCATTGTTGAAAACAGCTGTGCTGCTTAATATTTTTGTGGAAACTGTGAAACCCTTTTTTTCCGGATTTTTATTTTTTTTCAGGATTTCAGGATTTTCACTTTTGATCAACTTAATGCATGCTTATTGAATAAAAGTACCAATTTCTTTCAAATAGAAAAAAAAAATCTTACTGATCCAAAAACTTTGAAATGTAGTGTTTAAATAGAATTACTCTAATTAAAAACACATAATGCCACAATGCAAAAACATTCCACCATTCAAAAGTTTGTGGTCAGTAAGATTTTCGTAACATATTTCTAAGAAAGTCGCTTCTGCTCACCAAGACTGCATTTATTTAATCAAAAATACAGTAAGAAAACTGTAAAAGTAATATTTTGTAACAATATATTATTACAGCTTAAAATAACTGTATCAAGAAACATTTATTATTATCAGTGTTGACAACAATGTTAACAATGTAAAAGGCCTTACTATCACTTTTTTTTATCAGTTTAATGAATCCATGCCAAAAAAAAAAAGTATTAATCTCTTTCAAAAAAAAAAAAAAAAAATCTTACTAACCCCAAAATTGTGAACTGCACTGTACAAATAAAAAATACTCAAATTTGATAAAACACTTATCTGCCACAAAATATTCACTAAAGACATAATCTGATTAATAGGCCATACACATAGATAGGTAGTGTTGTTAGTCTACACAAACCTGTGTGATGTACGGAGGGTGCGAGCTGGTGTTGGCTGGCAGTCCCGGGCCCTGTGGAGATGTCAGCACATGATTGGAGGGAGACATGGGTGATCGGGTGTCCTTTTCCAGTGGGCTGTGAGCGTGCAGCGATCTGGTCCGGTTGTTTGTGGGCGAGAACAGGAAGTGGTTTGAAGGCTGTTTTGGGGAGGTGGGCTGTGCGTGTGACAGAGGGGAGCGTGATTGGCTGGAGTGTTTGTGAGGTGAAAGCTGGGGTTCAGGGGAGCGTGACAAGGGAGACAGAGGGGAGTGCTGTGGTCGACCAGGGCTGAGGGGCTCTGGGGTAAGAGTGGGAGAAGATGGAAAGTCATCGCTGCTTTTAGTGCGGGGCATTTTGTTGACCTGGACATAGTTGATGGGGAAGATTCCACTGCGGCTGGTGCCGGCGATACGCCCCTCCAGCCAGCGATCATCAACACGCCTGGTGATAGAGATCACCTCGCCCTGAGACAGAGACGACAGAAGAAAGCTGTTTGGTGGCAAATACCACGGATCTCTGGAATACATGCTTCTGATTGATCAATCGCAGCATTCCGTGGTCGAATATTTGTGTATAATGATGTTAAGCTGTAAAATTTGCAGTAATTGTCTGTAATTGTTCCAGGCAACCATTATCCTACATATTTGTACTAGTTAGGGCTGAGAACTGATTCCAAAAAGAGTTTCTTTACATGTCTGAGCATTGCCCTAATTACCAAACTCAAGCCTTAAAGCAGCGGTTTTCAACCTTAATGACTCTAAGTCCCCCTACTGTCTACGACAATATTCGAAGGCCCCATGACTTTTTCAAGTGGTTCATGATTTACTCGACAAGAATTAAGAATAAGGATTTAAAGGGGTCATGAACTGCCTGTGTTTTAATTTGTTCTGTTCTCTAAGGTCTACTTATAATGTTATCAAGATTGCTACATTAAAAAACATCATCATTTTGAAGTATTAGGCTATTTTCTGTCCTGTTTTTAACGCCCCTCATCAGAACGCTCTGTTTGAATAGGCGTGGCGGATCGTAGACTTGGAAGTAAATGCCCACTGCTATGATTGGCTAATAGTTATGTATGTTTCACAGTCTATGTCTTTCACAAATGGATGCTGTTAACGCATAAATACTCAATACATATCAAACGATTTGTTTAACAGACAAAGTAATAGTGATCATGTAATAAAAACAGTTACTTGCACATGTGTGTTGCGACATTACTGTCGGATCCAATATAGTTGGCACAGCATCGTCTTTTTATTATTTTATTAAACAAGGCTTTGATTATGCCTTGTTTGTAAATGAATCCTCGGTAAATTGAAATGAACAAAGGACTAACTTCTTACTGACGCGGTCTGGATCTTCATTAAAAATAAAGTTTACTCTTTCCTAAGGTTGGGATCAGATGGAAGGCAACGTAAACACTGTTTTTCCACAACTTGGCACTGCACAGCATCTTTATGATTTAGTTTCTGAGTGGACCTGCGTTCACCTCTCTCGTAAACACTACATGCGCAAATTGGTGGGCGGAGCTAAACAGGCAGTGATGTAGAATTGGTGGGCGGGGCTAAACAGGCAGTGATGTCGAAGCAGGCGTTGATCTTTTTCTGCGAAGGCTGTGTTTATCTGCACTATTACATCATAGAGTAGAACATTCCACAAGCTGTTGTTTTGGCAGACTGCCTTCAATATAATCTGTTTTCAGACGAACCAGAAAGTTTTGAGTTCTGAAACTTACAGGATGTTTTTTATAGTACAATGACCTCTTATGTCAAAAGATCAAGGGACTTTTGGTTTCGCAGTTCATGGCCCCTTTAAGAATATAACATTTTATACACTAAGATTTATATAAAATATGGTTTTATTCATCTAAATAACTTTTCTAGGTCTAGAAATCACACTTTTAAAATTAGGCTATTTCATATGCAGGGTTTTTTAAGACTGGGGGAATACTTCAAAAAAGCTGTTCTTGAGGGGGGTGAATTTAAATAATATCTCGATTCTTTTTAGTTGTATTGTCTTATTTTAATTTAATTCTGATTTTGATGTAGTATTTATACTGAAAGTCCATGTAACCTGAATGCAACCAGAAAAACAGCATAAACTTTGCAATGACATGAGGGTGAATATATGATGACAGTAATTTCATCATATATTCTGTTCAGTCCGTCGAGGTCAGACATCCGAGAGTGAGAATATGAACACTGCTGTTTTCTCACTGCTCTCATTTTTGTTGTGTGTTTATATTGTTACTGTGAAGAAAGCATGCAGCACATATTTACATATTCATCTAAACACAGCTCTCAGAGATGTTCACTAACAGTAAAACCGCTGCTAAGGAATCAGTGCAATCCGTCAAACCGTGAACATAAGCACACCATTTAAGTCAATAAAAGAAGTATATTCATTTCAAACCAGCCACAAATTAAAGAGGTTTCCACCTCAGCTCAATTAAGAATCAAGAAACTTAGTCTGGAATGTAATATTTTATGAAAATCAACTGTACATAATCGATTTGTTGCAGTATATGTTGCAGAAGTGCAGTGTATATGGTACCTTTCTGAAGGACAGTTCCACAGGCAGGTCTGCATTGAAGTTGAACAGGGCTACAGCCTCTCCGTACTCCAGCACCTGGATGGTGGGAGACTTTATTGGCGTGGGCTTTTCTGTTGGAGGAATAATCTGAAAAGAAAACATAGGAATGAGTGTAAATGAAAAGAAGATGGTGTGAAGCGTTTCATTTGCATACATATGGGCATACCTCCACATAACTGGTGGGAAAGATCCCCACTCTCCCATGATGCTCTCCTTCATACCAGTTGGCATCCACTTGCCGGTGTATATACACTACATCACCTTTTTGTAAGGTCAGCTCCCTATGGATGAGAGGTTTAAAAATAATAATATTTTATTGCAGTGGTATTAATATGGAAGCTTGTTTCCACCGCTGACCAAAGTGCAACTTTTTATCTCATAATTCAGACTTTTTATAAAGTCAGAATTACGAGATATAAACTTGCAATTGTGAATAATAAAGTCAAAATTGTGAGATATAAACTCAATTCGGTCTTTTTTTCTCAGAATTGCATGATATAAACTCGCAATTGCCAGCTATAAAGTCAGAATTGCAAGATAAAAACTCACTCTTCTGACTTTTCTTGCAGTTGCAAGTTTATATTTTACAATTCTGACTTTTTTCTCGCAATTCTCAGTTCTTTTCTCTGAATTGTGAAATATAAACTCGCAATTGGGAGTTATATCTAAAGTCCAATTCTGAGGGGGAAAAAACTATTTTCTTACAACTATAAGTTTACATCACACAATTCTGATTTTATACTGTAACTCGCAATTCTGAGAAAAAAAGTCAGAATTGTGAGATAAGAAGTCAGTTACCCTTTTTTATTTTTTATTCAGTGGAGGAAACAGGCTTCCATACATTTGCAATGCTTTTTGTGTTGTACCAGATTTTCCCAAATCCTTCATATACTGATCCCAATTCTGCAAATAATTAGGAATAATGAAATCGGTGTTGTGTCTTTTGTTTCAACTTACTTTGGTGACTGTGCTTGGAAATTAAATTTGGTTCGCGCTGCTTTCATCTGTGTAAACAAACATGCTTTCTTTCAAATATTTACTATCCATTCAAACCTCAGAGCAGAGAAAAATGATCAAATACTGTACCTTTCTCTCTTCTTTCTTAGGTGGGAAATCCATGTCTGATGACATTATGCGATCTGTAGAGGAAAGTGAAGACCAGAAATGAGATATCGGCCCATAATATATCAAAATCAAAAGCAGAATTGTGTCTATTGCTAGCTTGCAATTATTGGGTGTTTATTCAACTTTAAGCACTTTTACGCCCAAGGGTGAAGGATGTGGTGATCATGTGAAGGATCTCTTGGTTATCTTGACTGCTGAAAATTAAACTAGGGTTTCTGTGCACACTGGCTTTTAAAGCTATTTTTGTAGCTGGATACTTTACTGTCTTATGTGGTTACATAATCCACATATTTGAGCGGTTTTAATGAGGGGTTTATAGCCTGTCTTTGATCAGTTGATGTTCTATGTCAGTTGATGTCATTTGTAATAAAAAGATCTGAAATTGCTATTTCTGGTCATTTATTATTTTAGGCGATTCTTTTCGCGAATATTTCAAATCATGTTAAGGCAGTTTGGAGTCAGTAAGATTTTTTTTTTTAAGAAATTAGTATTTTTATTCAGCAGGGATGCATTTAATTGATCAAATGTAACAGTAAAGACATTTATAAAGCTACAAAATATTTCAATTTCAAATAAATGCTTTTCTTTATTAGCTTTCTGTTTATCAAATAATCCTGAAAAAAATGTATCTCAAATTTATTCATGTATAAAATACATGGGGAAGTCGTGGCCCAAAGGTTGCGGGTTCGAGTCTCGTACCGGCAGGGATTGTAGGTGGGGGGGAGTGAATGTACAGCGCTCTCTCCCACCTTCAATACCACGACTGAGGTGCCCTTGAGCAAGGCACCGAGCTCCCTGGGCGCCGCAGAAAAAAAAAATGGCTGCCCACTGCTCCGGGTGTGTGTTCACGGTGTGTGTGTGTGTGTGTGTTCACTGCTGTGGACGGATGGCTTGGATGGGATAATGCAGAGCACTAATTCAGAGTATGGGTCACATGTCACGTCACTTTAATATTAAGCAGCAAATGGCTGCCCACTGCTCCGGGTGTGTGTTCACGGTGTGTGTGTGTGTGTTCACTGCTGTGGACGGATGGCTTGGATGGGATAATGCAGAGCACTAATTCCGAGTATGGGTCACATGTCACGTCACTTTAATATTAAGCAGAAAATCAGCGTATTAGAATGATTTCTGAAGAATTCAGAAAATTCAGCTTTGAATCACAGGAATAAATTACATTTTAAAATATATCCACATATATATTTGCAATAATATTTCACAATATTAAACTATTTTTACTATATATTTGAAGAAATAAATGCAGCCTTTTTAAAATAAAATCTTACCAACCACAAACTTTTGAATGGTATAGCATATACTATTGAGGGAATTTGGAGAATTAATCAAATTAATTTCTGTTGTATCTTTTTTTGCTGTTGTTGTTTTTTTTGGATCAATACTGATTCATCGGGCCTCCAGCTCTGCACACATTATTGTGTTTGCAATGGCAGAGTCTTTCTCAATTTATCTCCAGGAAAAACAACTGGATAAATCTAATCTGCAATCAAGACCTCCATCCTGCTGCTTGTTACACACTTCCTGTCCTGCTGAACAGTGATTGACTTCATTTGTTTTTCTCATTTCACAGAAATGTGTTTACTTTGTATTAATTGGAGGGAATGAGAGGAGAGGAGAAGAGTGGCAAAAAGTGCAAGGAAACAGGAAACACAGGCGAGGAGGGGATAGGAAGATGACTATATCTTACCATCAGCATGCATGAAGTTCGCTGCTGTGCCCTGCTTTACAGCAGAGCAGGGGATTATGGGATAGCTGGAAAAGAAAAACCAAATTATCATGTGACAAATCTAGCCCAAATACTGTAGATGCAGAACACTGAAGTAAAAAAACAGCAAGGGTAAAGTTCATAACTTATGATGTGCTTTCATGTTTTTGTATTTACACGGAGACGATAAAGGTAGCGTTTTAAAAAACTTGCACTTTGAAACCTGTTTTCAAAAGTTTGTTTTCAGGCCCACAAAATACTGTTGTCATGTAAATGAACAGCCAAAACACATAAAAATGTTAAATTTTTAGTTGAAAACAAATTTGTGTAAGCGCCCCTTAACATGATTCCGTAAAATGACCGGTATTAGTTTCCAATAAAGAAGAAAAATAACAAACAAGACATTATTATTCCTCAAATAAGATCTTATAATTTTCGTAAAAATCAATGAGATTTAGTGAATGAATGAACAAATTCTTAGGTTTTTCTCCCCAAAAAAACTCCAATAAGCTCGCATGTCTCCTATAGAGTTTCAGAGGAGATCTCAACAATGTCTGTGCACAACCAAGACACCAAAATATGCAATTAGATTGAACATGAGCTTAAACAGACCATTCATTTTACAGCTCTACATTCAACTAATACACAAATAAATACTGTAAATAACTACAATGCTGATACACACATGAACAACAGAGATCTCCTTCTCCTGAGCTTTGAAAAAATAACCCTGGGTTACATGTGAGACTCAAGGAAGACAGGAAGAATTCCATAAAACACAACAGATGGTCACGAGGATCGAAATGAGAATAGTTATGAATATGTGACAGACCTGAGAGATTTAATTAATGGTGGAGGATTATGCTGCACTAAACATCTTTAAAACATAATACTGCACAAGATAATACTGTATACTTTTCTATCCCACAAGTTCTTCTTTGTTTTAAGCCTAAACATCATAATTAATATGTAAAAAATTAATATGTAAAAAATTAGTAAAATTGCCTTATTTTAACAATATTTATACATATTATTGTAAAAACTGCAATGTGTGTTATATCAAATATCATGCTGATAAAATGGCAGCATACGATTCTTGAACCCAACAAGCAGTTACTGTGTTAACAGGTTTTCAGCCCCAGGGTTATTAATCGTTCCAGAAAGAGAGAAGCTATAAAACTGTCCTCACTCTGTATCCTTTTTGTAGCAGCAGGGGCATTTATGGCATTTGGAGGGTGGGGAGATAGTCAGCGGGGGGCTGAAGGGGGCAGAAAGCATCAACATGCCACAGAAAAACAGAGCGAGAACTCAAGAATGTGTCAGATCCAGTGAGATACGGGCCCCTGGCGAGCAAATACTGAAGCTAAAGGTGTCAGTTTGGGCATTAACGTCTGAAGTACAGGCCTGGAAGGACCCAACTTTGCCTTTTATAGCTCTGCACATAAAGAAAGGGTTAACTGCTTGAGGAGCAGCAATGCAGGCAGAAAACTGCGGACACACACACATCCAAAGTGTGTCGAATACAGTCTGAGAACTGAACCAATACTGTACCTCTTTATTAACAAGATGAACGAGGTCAAGCATGTGAGTAAAGACCGAGACATCCTCAATTTGACCACACACACTTAGACATAAACACACACACACTCTGACAAATACACAAACACATGTACAGGCACACAAAGAGCTCAGCATGGGGTCGGGTATGTGGGCCGCCGGCCATAGAGTCAACAATTAACCAATCAGACCAGGAGATCAGACCAGGGCATGACTTTAATAAGACAGCGAAAACAACAGAGAATCTACTGCATGTGTCACATTTCATCATCATTAATAACACTGATTCATTATTAGATGTTATTACTGCAAAACTACTTTACCCCACCTGCTTCATACAAAGGAAGTATAACTTCTAACATTAACTTCTATCCAAATTACATAAAAGCCATTCATAACTGCATAACATATATACAATTAATTAAATTAATTTAGCTTTAGATTAAGACTGACCCCAAAAGTGCATTTTTATTTGAAAAAAGTATGTTTATTAAGGTTTGTCATTTTTGGCTAACTTCTAGGGACATAGTTGTTTCCAAAGTATAATTAAATAAAATCTAAGGCATACCTGTTTTCTTGTCTGTTCTCTTCTGTTCTTGTGGTTGCTGTGTTGGTTTTAGCTCCCTGTAAATAGAAATCACAATTTCATTCAGCTCTAACACACATGAATTCTCTCAAAGACGCAGTTAAACAGGAGCATTTGGGAGCAGCTGGAAGGCAATCTCACCAGGCGGTGACCATTCCTGCACTGAGAGCTGCACGGCTCCCCTGGGTCCTACACTCCATTCATTCTGCTCGCATTGTAAATGTGAATCAGATGGAACTGCTGATGTAATCAGCTAAGATTTCCACAGTTTATAATTCACAAGAAAAGGGAGAGCCATAAAGCTTTAAACAATTAAAGGTGCAGTATTCATTGAGCCAAAAGCTCATTTTAGATTAAAGGAATAGTTCGATTTTAAGTGAATAGCAATTTAAATATGTATTAATTTAGCTTTAGATTAAGACTGACCCCAAAAGTGCATTTTTATTTGAAAAAAGTATGTTTATTAAGGTTTGTCATTTTTGGCTAACTTCTAGGGACATAGTTGTTTCCAAAGTATAATTAAATAAAGTCTAAGGCATACCTGTTTTCTTGTCTGTTCTCTTCTGTTCTTGTGGTTGCTGTGTTGGTTTTAGCTCCCTGTAAATAGAAATCACAATTTCATTCAGCTCTAACACACATGAACTCTCTCAAAGACGCAGTTAAACAGGAGCATTTGGGAGCAGCTGGAAGGCAATCTCACCAGGCGGTGACCATTCCTGCACTGAGAGCTGCACGGCTCCCCTGGGTCCTACACTCCATTTATTCTGCTCTCATTGTAAATGTGAATCAGATGGAACTGCTGATGTAATCAGCTAAGATTTCCACAGTTTATAATTCACAAGAAAAGGGAGAGCCATAAAGCTTTAAACAATTAAAGGTGCAGTATTCATTGAGCCAAAAGCTCATTTTAGATTAAAGGAATAGTTCGATTTTAAGTGAATAGCAATTTAAATATGTAAACATGAATCATAAATATGAGTCTGTTTTTCACATAAAGTAGGTGGGGATTTTTTGGTTAATTTTTGAGCTGTGACTGATTTAGTGTCCTTTCATTTCTATTGTATTGAATAGAGCAACAAGAACTTATTTTGTATTCAAATAAAAATACAAATGAAAGCTTGAAATAAGATTTGAAAGTTTGAAATAAAAACTGAAGTTTGAAATTATTTTTTAAAGAAGTCTCATATGCTCACCATGGCTGCATCTATTTGATTAAAGTAAAAACAAAAATATTGTTATATATTATTACAATTATTAAAATATAACAATTATTATTACAATAAATAGAACATACATATTATTGAAATAAGTATTTTCTATTTAAATATATTTTAGATGGAATTTATTCCAGTGATGGCAAAACTAAGATTTGAAATTAATACTGAGCTAAGAAAGAAATTAATACTTTTACTCAGAAAGGATGCATTAAATCAGTCAAAAGTGACAGTAAAGGCATAATATTACAAAAGATTTCTATTTCAAATAAATGCTGTTCTTTGAACTTTTAATTAAGCAATGAATTAATTAATTAATTAATTTAAATTGATTAAAGAAAATTGATAAATATATTAAGAAATGTTTTTTGAGCAGCAAATCAGCATATTAGAATGATTTCTGAAGGATCATGTGACACTGAAGACTGGAGTAATGATGCTGAAAATTCAGCTTTGCTTCACAGGAATAAATGACATTTTAAAATATATTAAACAGAAAACTGTTATTACTGTATTTTTTTGTAACTGTTTTTACTGTATTTTTGATCAAATGATATTTGGTATTGGTATTTGCCTTGGTATTTGGAAAGAAATTAAGGGCAACTGATCATTTTTGGGTGAACTGCCCCTTTAAGAATCACAAAAAGAGAGACATGGCAAGAAAAGGATCAAATAAACAGAGCTGGGATATAAGGTTGGCGTGACTCAAACGAAAGCTCAGCAGTGGGCGGCTGTTGGGCATGACCGGAAGTGACAGAGAGGATCAGCATGCACAGCTGTCAGATCAGAGCCAACATCCAGCAACCTGAAGCACACTGACAGGAAGATAACATAACAGCGGTGGCCAGAAACGCAGAAAAACTCTTTGACTTTTTTTGGCATAACAAGAGAGAGCTTAAGACTAATACCTTGTATGAAGGGTGTGGAAATTCTAAAGAAATCAGTGAGGCCATAATGGATGACTAAAGTCTAGCTAGAAGTCCAAAAGATTTAAAAGCCATTTAGAGCGACTGATACAGTACGCCAAATACAACTTCACAGAACTCTGTCTTATCTAACTGCCGTGTCTCTGTTTTTCTGTGACCCTTACTCTCTAAAACTTTGAAGAAGGTATTTGTTTAGTATTTGCTGGGCAAAATTCAGAACTGAAGTATTCTGAGTGTGTGTTTGAAATGAACAGATCACAAATCACAATAAACTAAACTGGAAGTCCAACTGAAATGACAGGAAGACTTGCGAAACAGTTTAGTTATTTAAAATATTAATTAAAAAATATATAAAATATAATTTAATTGAAATATATTAAAAGTGACAAGTTATTTTAAATGTAATTAATATTTCACAATATTACTGTCACGAATCCAGTCCATGAACTTCCGTCTGCTAGCCATCAGAGGTCACCCTTTCCGTTTTCATTGACTCTCGCACTACATACTGTTGCATAGCACCCCGGACTACATATCCCATCATTCATTGCACTGATTGCACACAGCACTGATTGCACACAGCTGTTTCATATCACTCACTCACTATATAACACTCACTCAAACAATCATTCTCTGCCGAGTATTGCTTAGCCGGTTATTATTCCTAGTTCCTGTTATCCTGCCCGTATTTCCTTGTTTTGCCTTGCCTTGCCTTGCCTTGCCTTGCCTTGTCTGTTTTCTCGGTTTCTGATCTTTGCCTGTTTTCCTGGATTTATCCCTCTAGTCTCGCCCCTGTGATTCTATCTGCCGATCGTTGACCTACGCTAGCCCTAGGACTATTCTTGTGTTTTGCCTGCCACATACCTGTTTGCCATTGTTCGACCCTGCCTGTTATGACCACGTCTCTTAAATAAAAGCTTGCAGATGGATCCACACGTCTCACGTCTCGTCAGCCTCGTTACAATTACTCTTTTTACTGTATTTTTTTTAATCAAATTAATGCAGCCTTGGTGAACATGAGACTTTCAAAAACATTAAACTTTAACCCCAAACTTTTGAATGGTAGTGTATGCATATCATATCATTATATGAACTGAACTAGACACAGATGTGCAGTAGGAGATCATAGACAAATAAAGTCTGGTTTCAGGGAGGTGCGTGATGGAGGATTTAACTGTGAGTGTGATGTGTCGATGGGAGGGTCAGTACCTCACCCCTGCCTCGCCGCTGCTGCTGCTTCTGTGACAGTTTCCTCTCCAGACCACGAATGTCTGAGTCCAGCTCCGCCTCAAAACGGTTCAGCTCTGACACCAGCGTCGCCTGCACAACAGCATGACAGCCAGGTGACACATTGCATATTATGTGTTGGTGTGGTTTCACATGTTCAAATGTAATCTGTTACTTTGACAGTGTGAAGATCACAAAATATTTGGAAATTCTTTGAACACAGCATAATGAATGATGATAAATTGCATGTCCAGTATTTTCATAAGAGAAGAGCAGGAAAAGAATCTGCCTTCATTTATTCAGATTATGCTGATTACATAAGTATATTACAACAGCATGAAAATACTGTATCTTCTTCAGACTGAAAGCTTAACCAGAACATAGACTTTTAATCAGGAAATGATGTGATTGTACACTGTAACAAATGCACTTTTAATAGTAGGCTATTGCAATTATTTAAAAAAGAAAAATCCAGAATTCTGAATTAAGAAACACAGATTGTCAGAAAGTGAGATGTGCAGAAATATGTAAGACCCTCACCTCTATGGACGGAGACTGGGATTGAGGTTTCACTGGGCTGTAATATGAAGGCAGCTGTGACTCAGACCTCAGAGACTGAAAAACAACAATAGTACAATATAATTAGACCACATTAAACCATATTGTATTTGAGCTAGCTGTCAAGGGAATATTTGTCGTTTTCATTCAGTTCAACTTGACGTACAAAAAATAAACTAAAACTGAAATAAAAATGAACAAAAACTATACAAACATATTTTTAAAAAAGCTAACAGAAATATTACTAAAACTAAAATTAAAATGAAAACTATAAAAACAAAAACTAATTCAAAATATTAATAATAATAATAATACTATCTCAATAAGCATGTTTACATGCACACCAATACACTGTATAGGATGGTAAGATTCACCAATTTGTCCCCGGTGCATCGGCATTTTTTTTAAAAGTGTGCATCGGATGTTAGCATTAGTATCACGATTCATCGTTTCTAACATATATTCACGATTTATTTAGATATAATTGATGTAGATGCGCTACACTTTTATTATTTATTATTTTGTGACCAATATTTTATATGTAGATTGATTTCTCCAATCTAAACTGTTTCTCAATCAAAAATCGGATCGCACTGCATCGTAATAAAGATGAATCGTATCACATCGCATTGGTAGCTGCTTCATATGTATCTTTAATGTATCGTAATGTTGGCTATGCATCAAGATATCGCATCGGCCTCAGTTATGGAGATGCCCATCCCTAATATACTGATAACTACCAAAAATCAGTTTATTAAAATAACCCAATTTACTGCTTTACGTGCAAATCTATAATCTGGCAATGCATGTAAACTGGGTTTATAAAACTGTATTAAAAATCAGGTTATTTCCTGGTGGTAACATGAAAACATACAGTAAGCATCCATGTATTCTCCATAGAGAATTCTATTTATTATGTGGGTTGTGATGTTAAATAAATCATTAAAAAGAATATTTCAAAATGTCTAGCACAGACTCATTCTCCTCTAATATTTGAGGTTTCTAATACTGCAACATTTCAGCTACATGAAATGAGAACACATTTTTTGTCATTTCTTGGGTTGACACAAAGTCAGAATTTAGGATTCATTTCCTCCTTGCCTGCCGCAGTGGCTGGGTGCGCTTACAGCTTTCCCATCACATATCACTCGAGCACACTTCAAAAAGGCGATATATCGCAGGTTAAGGTGTTTACAAGCTGGGCAAAATCAGGGTAATGGGCAGAAATCTAGCTGTGTCGACTGGTTTAGGCATAAGCTGATTATGACCATAGGCAAATAAAGGAAATGGTTTAATGCGTTTACATGACCACACTCGTTGTCAGCTTATTAAGCATAATCAGTTTATGAATGTGCATGTAAACGCACTTAGTGATATTAAAATAACACTTTATTTTTAAGACCTACAATTACAAGATACAGGTAAGAACTGAACACCATTTCATAACCAACTTAGGAGCCTATGTAACTATAAACCTGATGTGTTTGGCTTCATTTAATTGTTAGGTAAAGAGCAGACTTCAACTATTTGCTATTTTGCAAGCACTCCAGACAGGTAGTATCATGTGAAAAGCTCCTCACTCTCACATATCTTGGCAGCTAATAATCTTATTGAAGCCAAGTCAGACATCCAGAACCGTTAACTAACTAAGACAAGATAAGCGATGTCTTCTTTCAAATATGTTAACAAAATAAGGCTGTCTTTAGTGAATTAAATGGAGATGACAGCTGTCACATTAAGGGAAAACAGAACGAAAGTAGAAACAGCTATAGACAACTCTACAAACTACGTTGCTGTTAAATCACACAAGCGGTTAACAGGTTTAATACGTATCACAAGACTGCCTTCCTTCGCACAGCTCCACAACTGGAGATAAAACAATAGATTCTTTTATTCTCGTATTCACACTGAGCCAAGCATGAAGTCAGTCATAAACAACCAGGGGTCCTGACAAACATCTTAATCTAAGAATTTTCTGAGAATTTATGTTAACTAATATTAAGGGCAGTCTGAATATTCATTTCAAATGTATATATTTGAAAAGAACATAAAGCTTAACATGTCTTGTAGTTTTAAAGCTCTGATTTTTAGACTGAGAGATGGAAGAACATTTCGGGATTTGAGAAGAGTGTCAAGTCGAGCCAGTTTCTCAGAATCTCGACAAAATTGAGTGATGATGACTATAACTGCTACGCATACACAAGCTTTTCTCATCACAATTCTCATTAACTAAGATACAAACGTGCACAAACACAAATATGCACCTTAGAATATGTAATATGTACCTTAAAGGTGCAAAAGGAACAAGAGATGTCCCTTTAAGGGTAATGCTCCAATGTCAAGCTGCTTTACCCCTGAAGGTACAACATTTATTCTGAGAGAAGTAATCACACAGCTTTTCTCATCACAATTCTCATTAACTAAGATACAAACGTGCACAAACACAAATTTGTACCCACTGTACCTAGTGATATATTATCCTCACATAAAAAGTGTTTTAATTTGCAAATTTTGAATTGGGTTCAGTGTTTACATTTCATTATGTTTATGCATTGTAAGGAATATACTGAAAGATCAGTATTAACCCTGTGTTTTATAGTTATTTGTGCCCGATGAAATTATTAAAGCATTATATATTAGATGTATTTAGATAAAGACATTATTCTTTTATTGAATTAAAGCATGAAACATCTACAAGCTCTCGCTGATATGCCTTTATATGCTTTAAAGCCTATAGGGAAGCTGTCATCATCTCCTCTCTCAGATTCTGGCCAGCAGGACGAGCGCAACTACTTTTCCAAGCATCTTCTCATCACTCAATAGTTTATTTTAAAAAAGGCAGAAGTTTGAATTCAAAAATCCAAATTAAAACACCTTGCATGAACCCTGACCTAAGTATAAGCATTAGTAAAAGTGACTAACTAACTAACCCACTTACAAAATGCTAATAGACAGTAACAAAAAGGCTTTCAACAGACACAATAATGCAACAGCATGCCATTTGGATGCCTTTCGGCTCAGCTTTATACTACAATACACAAACCCCACCAGTCTTTTTGCGACAATATTTCTAGTTAAACTGCATGGAGAGGTGATGGTTGATGACAGCTTACCCGACTACGATCCTCTTCTGCTCCCTTTCCAGGCTCAAAGTCAAAAATACTCTTGGGTTCTGGGTGCTTCCCTGTGTCGCCCAGATCAGCCCTGTAACACACACACAGAGGCCACTTTACTACGCAATCATTGTTGGTTCTTGCAGAAACAGATCCTAACCTGCCCAGTGTCTGTGTAACTTCTCTCTCTCTCTCTCTCTCTCTCTCTCGTCTCTCTCTCTCTCTCACACACACACTGTCTCTGTCTCTCTCTGTCTCTCTCTCTCACACTGTCTCTGTCTCTCTCTCTCTCTCACACACACACTGTCTCTGTCTCTCTCTCTCTCTCTCTCTCACACTGTCTCTGTCTCTCTCTCTCTCTCTCACTGTCTCTGTCTCTCTCTCTCTCACACACTGTCTCTGTCTCTCTCTCTCTCTCTCTCTCACCAGTTGGGCAGGGCTCCGTGAGGGGTGAGGGTGAAGGGGTCTGAGCGTCCCTCCTGCTGGCCAGAATCTGGAGGAGGAGATGATGACAGCTTCTCTGTTGCCATTGAAAAAAAAAACATTTTAATGAGAGATACTTCACATTATTATTCAAATTGAGAATAATTTCTTTATCTAAATATATCAAATACAAAGCTTTAACAATTTCACTGGGCACAAATAAGTGTAAAACACATACAGCAATTGCAGCAAAATTCAGGCTTCTGTATGACTGAGAATTACAGAATATAGAGCCCAGAAATAAGTATAACGATTTTATATTAACTATTCAGCAACTCACTTTCTCTCCAGTCAAGCTCAGGCTCTGCAGGAGTAAAAACATACAAAGTTCAATTAGAAGAAATGACCCTAATATAGCTTTTTATGGGCAAATATTAGATGTTTAGAATGTTTGAATTCTTTATTTTATTTTATTTTTACACAAAATATTGTAGAACTGTATATATTAAAAAGTTTTGGTTATCCCTTATTTTAAGGTGTATATGTTACAGTGTAATTATACAATTAAGTATTCAATCATATTAATTAACATTTACAATTAACATTCACTAACTACACAATTAGGTTTGTTATCTGCTTGTAATTCTGCTTAAACTGTTATCACTATAATAAGTACATGTACTGAATAACAAGGAAACTGTAAAATGTTATAAAATACTTCTATTTTAAATAAATACAGTTTTTTTTAGCTCGCTGTTCATCAAAGAATCCTGAATAAAAATGAAATAAAAATGTATCACAGTTTCCACAAAAATATGAAGCCACACTTAACTTATTTAGCAACTGTCTTCAAAACTGATAATAATAAGAAATGTTTCTGAAGGATCATATGATCAAAATTCAGCTTTGCATCACAGGAATAAATTACATTTTAAAATGCATTCAAATAGAAAACCCTTTTTTGAAATTGTAATAATATTTCACAATATTACTGTTCTTACTGTATTCTATAAATTCAGCTTTGGTGAGCAGAAGAGACTTCTCTGAAAATATTTTTAAAAATCTTATCAACCCCAAACATTTGAAGAGTAGTGTAGATTATATAATATAGAATTGCAGCATCATCTATGTATCAGTTATTGGCCATAACAAAAAAAACAAGCAAATAAATAAAAAGCAACATGCCAGAATTGTATTATTAATACATCTCTATAATTAATTAACAACAAAATTATATAAAATATACATAAAACTAAAAATATACATTTAACTGTACTGAAGTTCAGATGTTTGGCTGCATCTTTATAGTCATTATCTAAAATCACACCAATATCTAGGAGCTGATGTGGTTTAGTCGTTAATCATATGAGCTTTAAGCAGTAGGTTGCTGGTTAACACAGAGCAATCATGAACTATATCACCATTATAATCTCAACAGATCACAGGTTGCTCATAGGAGAATGACTGTGTAATAATTGTACTGTAAGTCTCTTTGGATAAAAGTATCATTTAAATGAACCACTTACTATACTATTTAAAGACCAGATACCATGAAAGATTATCACATGACAGCCAGCTATTAACGTCTTTCTTTCTATAAGCTCAGTAAGTCTGAGTTAAACCAGGTGTCTATGAAAACACACTGAGCAAATTGTGTAACGCAGCTTTATGTTGTTCATAATTACTCAACTACATCAGCTGCTGTTCCAGTTATTAAACTGCAAACTTCTGTACATTAATCAAGCGCAGGACTCTGGCCAAATATCCTAGAGGGCACTGTATACCTTACAGCAGCACCCCTCCACACGTCTGCTGCTGTTTCATTGTTTGCAATAATAGTTTATGCGCTTTACATTTTTATGACTTTGAAATCTTCTAACTCAGAAGCTTCACTGGTGAAGGAAAGGTACAGTGCGGTATCCTGAATCTCATCATGCTCAGCAAAGCCTATCTGGTTGCACTTTCAAAGGGTCAATTGTGCACTTTCTCATTGAGCTCCACATGTGCTGAAAGGTTAAGCAATGATCAAGAAATGAGGTCTAAAATTTCTAAGCCAGAGTTTGGCTTTATTCTTTCTGGATCAGTGCAGAATGTGACAGACAATAATGGAGAGGAATTTCCTCATTGTTTCAGAGAGAGAGATAGGAGGAGAGCCCATACCCTCTGGTTTCTTGTGGATTTGTCTAAACATGCTCCTATACCAGTCCTTGGGCTTGTTTACGCTCTAGAGAAAGGGTTGGGAAAACGAAAAATGCATTGTTCAAAATAAAAACAAAACATGCTGGCATAAACGGTGTACTAAATATTTGTAATCAATATTTTTGTCTTGTTTACAAGTAAAATATCTCAACAGAATAAAAAAAGCTTAACAAATAATTTAATACAATTCTAAAAATATATCTTGGTTTTAAAATATTATTATATCTTGAGCATATCTTGAAGCTTTTCATATGCTTTTTCTTTGTTTTTAGCATAAATAACATGTTTAAATGTGTTAACATGTTTCAAACAAGACAAATCATTTTAATGGGGTAAGAAAAATAAACTTAAAACAAGAGATGTTCTTAATATCTACACCTTACAAAACCTTTCTTCTTGAGGTATTCTCATATTTTTATCAATATTTTGAGAAATTAGGTTTCATTTTTGTATTTAATGTTATATTTTCTGCTATTTTAGTTAAAGTTTCAATAAAAAAAATTTTTGTCATTATTTGTGTGTTGTTTTTAAAATATATATGTTTATATAGTATTTATTAAGTTTTATTACTGATTTTTAGTTATAGCTTGCTAAAAGAGCTTATATAAATAAATAAATAATATATACAGTATATAAAGTGTGTGTATACATATATATATATATATATATATATATATAATATTTATTATGTTATGTTATGTTATGTTATGTTATGTTATGTTATGTTATGTTATGTTATGTTATATGTTATATTTTATTTAAATAATATAACAGGAATGCATTCTGGGACTGCAGTGGTTGAGTGAGACTCACAGATCGGGATGCGATTGGCATGCCTGTCTCATCTACAGGACCTATTCCAGAGAACTTGATTAAGCGCTCCTCTCCGGTACCGGACGTCCTGGGCAACGTGGCAGAACCTCCAGTCCGTATCCCACCATTGGATAATCCAACTGAAAGACAGAGAGATGACAATTTAACACACATCAAATTGCATGAAATATTAATATAACATATGAACATATAATATTTGCCAATTCTAATTTCAAATGTTCCAATTTCCTCCAATTCAAGCACAGAAACCTATAGTTACTTATAATCACAGATAAGATACACATAGGAATTCTTATGATAATTCAGTCAAGTAATATCAAAACGTATCAAAAGTTTTGTTACCATTTGTCTGAGTCGGCCCATAGTAGGATCCGAAACTCTGTGTTGTGAATCCACCTCCATTGACCTCTGCGACCTGATGGAAACATTATTGCACAGTTATATGACAATCATATTCTAATAGTGAATTAAAGAGTATAAGGTAAATAGGAAACGTTAGTTATACTGTATATAACACATATATACAACATCAGTTATACTAAAAAAACAAAAAGTGTCCCAAAAACATGTCAATTTGAGTGATATTTGTTATCTAATGCAAATGCATTCAAGGTAGTTTAATTGTTGAAATACTTAGCTTGGGGACACTATATATAATAATTAATAATAATTAAAAATTGAAATTAAAATCAAGCACATTTCAACTGTAAACAGGATTAGCATACTATAATTCTAAAAGTCCTTTTTTTAAATATTGCCACAAGGGGGCAGAACAATATAAGTTTGCACACATTCAGTCCAAGTCAGCATGTAATAATGTCAAAGCAGTGTTATTCATTCATACTTTTTATTGTTATTATAAATGAATAACAAATATAAATAATAAAAAAGACACTTTTATTTTTATTTCAGTTTTAGTTATATTTTACTACTTCAGCTTATTTTATTTCAGTTAGCTGCCAAAGCAACATTTCTATTTTTTAAGTTTAAGTTTTTCATCTAAAATTACTATTTTATTTCTACTTTATTTCAATAACAACACTGTGTCAGTGCTACTCAATCAAAGCCTAATGTGGAAAAGTTTCGTGTTGAGTTGAACTGAACTGAATAGATTTTAAACAAAATTTTTACATTCGAAAGTATGAGTAGTAGCATGTCCCTTTTAATGTTTCAATGTTTTTTTTATTATTATTTATATTTTAATTATTATTTACGTTTAAATTTAGTGACCTAGAAAGCTGCAGAATCTGAATTTTTTTCTTAAATATTGTCTTATCAGTTTACTGTATGTCCAGGTTTCGATTACATTTTGAATCCTAGATTTTCAGTGTGGTTTAAGACTTTTGGAACCCAGTGCATACGAATAATAAAGTTCTCAACACACATGTGGAATAACGTCTGCAGCAGTAATGTGTTACGGCTGTGCTCTTGCCTTGTGCTGTGACGACGCAGGGGCTGAACTGATGTGGAACGGACTCGAGGGAGGTGTAGGAAGACCAGGAGAGATTACGACTACTTCCTGGGTCATATCCGGAGCCATGAAGTGCTGTCTGGATCCACTGCCGGGAAGAGCCTCGTCCGAGAAAATGATCCGTGAGCCATTAAGATGGTCATGCACCTCTACTCTTCTCTGAGAGAAAAAGAGAAGTTTTATTTCATTACCTAGAATCACTGTTTCCATCCATCTATCCATCCATTTTCCATACTGCTTTATACTCCACAGGGTCGCGGGGGGCTGGAAACTATCCCAGTGTTTTGGGACACAGCCAGGTGGGAGACACCCTAAACAACAGGGCTCACACACATGCATGCACTCACTCTCACCTACTGTAGGGGCAATTTATAGTGCCCAAGTCACCAATGCCGAATGTCTTTGGATTATGGGGAAAAGCCACACAGACATGAGGAGAACATGCAAACTCCACTGGCTCAGCCGGGACTGCTGTGAGGTGACAGTATTACCCACTGAGCTGAATCACAGTTTCCAAAGAAAAATTTGAGTTAGTTTTATCAGTTAGCCCCAGTTGTTTTATACTGTAACTACACCATTCTCTGGGCAAAAGGTTTATTCCTCTACTGATTACCCTTGAGAAAAAGAAGTGCATTGAATTGTACTGAATGTGCACTTCTAGTGTACTTCTAGTGTACTGTAGTACATTTTTTAAATTGTACTTGCAGATAAAATCATTTAAATTAAATAAAATTACATAAGGGTATTTAAGGATATACAGTGCCTTGCGAATGCATTATTTCATACCCCTTCATTTTTTTTCACATTTTGTTAATACATTTTAATTTATTAAAAATAAAAAGTTAAAATTATTCCATTGCATAAGTATTCATACCCTTATCTGGGACAGTTGAAATTTAGCTCAGGAGCATTCATTTTGCTTGTAGCTGCAACCACTAACTACACTTCAAGTGAAGTTAACCTGTGGCAAATTCAATTGAATGGGTATAATTTGGAAAGGCACACACGTCTTAATAAAAGGTCTAACAACTGATAATGCATATCAGAGCAAAAATCAAGCCCTGAAGTCAAAAGAACTGCCTGTAGTGCTCAGAAACAGGTTTGCGTCAAGCCACACATCTGTGGAAGAGTTCAGAAAAAAATTCTGCTTCATTGAAGGTTCACAGAAGCGTGTAGCCTCTGTTACCTTTAATGGAAGAAGTCTGAAACAACCAGGACTCTTTCTAGAGCTGGCCACCTGGACAAACTGAGCAATTGACTTCTGCTTCATTGAAGGTTCACAGAAGCGTGTAGTCTCTGTTACCTTTAATGGAAGAAGTCTGAAACAACCAGGACTCTTTCTAGAGCTGGCCACCTGGACAAACTGAGCAATTGACGGAGAAGGGCTTTGGTTAGCATGGTCACCAAGAACCTGATGGTCACTCTAGTTGAGCTCCATGATTATATGTGGAGATAGGAGAAATCTACAGAAGGACAAACATTACTGCAACACTCCACCAATCCAGTCTTTATGGCTGTGTGGCAAAACTCAATCCTCTCTTCAGGTAAGACACATGAAAACACACTTGGAATTTACAAAAAAGCACCTAAAGGATCCTCAGACTGTGAGAAACAGAGAGAAAGATTCTCTGGTCTGATGAACCTCAATTCCAAGCATCATGTTTGAAGGAAACAAGGCACTGCTCATCACCTGAAGAGTACCATCCCAAAAGTAAAGTCATGCTGTGGAGCTGATTTCAGCAGCAGGGACTGAGGGACTCATTAGAGTAGAAGAAACGCTCAGTGCAGCAAAATATAGAGATTGCCTTAATGAAAACCCAGTCCAGAGCAATCAGAACCTCAGACTGGGCAGAAAATTCACCTTCCAACAGGACACTGACCCTAAGAACACAGAAAGAGTGGCTTATAGACAACTGTGTGAATGTCCTTGAGTGGCCCAGCCAGAGCATGAGCTTGAACCCAATCAAATATTTCTGGAGAAACCTGAAAATGTGCATCTCTCCCCATTCAACCTGACAGAGCTTGAGAGGTGAACAGGTGAGGTGAAGAATGGCAGATAATTGCAAAATAATGATGATCAAAGCTTGTTGCATCAAACAAAAAAAGACTTGAGGCTGTAAAGGTGCTTCAGCTAAATATTTAGTTATACTTAATGATACTGCATGTTATACTGCATGAATACTTATGCAATGTACTTATTTCAGTTTTTTATTTTTAATACATTTACGAAGTTGTGAGAATTCTGTCTTTGCTTTGTCAGTATGGTGTATGGAGTGTAGATTGATGTGGAAAAAAACTAATTTAAAGAAGTTTATCATAAGGCAGCAACATAACAAAATGTAAAAAATGAAGGGGTATGAATACTTTCGCAAGGCACTGTATGTCCTTCAAATAATTGCATTTATATAGTACATTCATTTAATTGTAAATAATGCACTTAAGTGTCAGAAAACATTACATAGTTATTCTTTTAAAAAATAATGTTTCTTTAGTAAGTACTTTTTTTAAAGTATGCTAAAGCATACCTCTTTTTCACAAGAGTAGTGATGCACTGAAATGTCAGAATCCAACAATATTTGGCCAAAACAGCAATGAATAAATATAAATAAATACATACATACATGCATACATGCATGCATGCATAAATATCAGTGTAATGAAAAGTCGAAATTATTTACCAAAATAATGTTTTATTAGTGCTTCTCTGCATCTGTTTCATGCACACAATGTGGATACCCTACAAACATTTAAAAAAGTTTTGCTATGCTTTTTTCATTTTTATATATTATAAATAAATACATTTAAATACAATTTTATTTATATTTTTATATTTCAGTTTTAGTTATATTAATTTTAGTACTTCCGTTTTTTTAATTTATACTTTCGTTGCCAAAGCAATATTTCTATTTTCACTTGTTATTCATTTCATTTCATCTAGTGCAGTCAAATGATTAATCGCGATTAATCGCATCCAAAATAAATGTTTTTGTTGACATAATATATGTGTGTGTACTGTGTATATTTATTATGTATATATAAATACAAACACATGCATGTATATATTTAAGAAAAACATCTTATGTTTATATATTAAATATATTTATATATATATAATACAAAATATAATAATATAAATATGTAAATGTATATACATGTAAATATTTTCAAAATATATACTGTATGTGTGTGTATTTATAAATACATAATAAATAAACAGTACACACACATATATTATGTTAACAAAAACTTTTATTTTGAATGCGATTAATCGTGATTAATCGTGATTAATCGTTTGACTGCACTAATTTCATCTAATTTTATATTTAATTTTATTTCAGCTTTATTTCAATAAAAAATTAATACAAATAAAAACTATTTTAACCGTTTTAGTTTTTTAACAGGTTTTTGTGAGGATACACTTCACAGTGAACAAAACTTAAGCTAAAATAGCAATATGTAAATTTAGTTCGGATGACCTACCAAAACGCAGCTCATTGCTGAATAACTTTATTATGACTGGTTTAATTTATCTCCAGAGAACACCCTGAACAGAATAAAGATTTCAGTTACCCAATTAACCAAATCTAGCTACTGAAATTTGATTTTTGATTTCTGTTTTTCATTCTTTAATTCTGGTTTTGGTAAACCTTGCTATTGATAAATATTTAAAAGTATTATTATATTATGTTTTATATTTCTGCCAGTGACCATTTTTTGAAAGGGTTTTGGGAAGCAACTATAGCCATGATAAATCTGCTCTCTTGTCAGCTCCATTTGTTATTCATTCAAAGTATCAAAACAAACTGTCCATCCTCGTCCATTTTAGATTGTGGATGCTTACAGAGAAAGACTCTTTGTGGCTTAGTTTGAGGGGCCACAAGAGAAGAAACTACTACCTCATTACAGGGTCCTGTTGTACTGAGCTCCCTCATTCAAACTCTCTAAGGTGTGACTCTTAGCCAACAGGGTCATGAAGAGTTCACCACCAATAGCAGGTTAAGTTAGCATTACTGGGTAAGTTTCTCATTGTGAAACGTCTTCCTGACCTCCTTTCCTCTTCCTCTTGACTCGAACCCCACCAACCCTCACTTTCTATGACCTGAATAATGTTCCCTCTCTCCATGTGAACTCTAGGGGTCATGGGAAGATCCCTGTGTTCTCATAGATGGTGAAACTGTATCTTGTTAAATCATGGAGATGCTTTGTGAGCTGGGGGAACAGGGACTGGGGCTTTTTCATGGAAATCCAAGTCTAGTCCATAAATAGCTCTCTCTTTCTCTCCTCCTGTCATTGTGTAAAGGGCTGTTTGTAACGTTTCTTTCTTTCTGTGGTTCCAGGGTGTCTTTCGATGTGATGCTGAACGGCCCAGGAGCTGCCAAGGATCGTAAGTAAGTGCAAGTGCAAAGCACCTCACATTAACATGGGTTTAGCGGATTGAGAAACACAGAGAGCAAGCTTTGAATTCAACAGATGCTCTTACCTGAGACTGCATGTCATCTGTAGGGATCCTGATCAGTAATCAATCAGATCTCAGACTCACTGCCTGAAAGAAACAGCATTCAAAATAATGTTATTTCTTTATTGTTTATTTCTATTGTATTTAAATCAGTGACTGACAACAGTATTCAATTACTGGTGTAGCTCTTAAACTAGTCTGTTTACACCGCTCGCTATACTACCACTCTTGCCAACTACTTTCAATGGAAAGCACTAAATCCTGCTCAAAAAGTCACTAGATGATGTCATGTGATAATTAGCATATTGATGACGTCACCGAGTCATATTTGCATTCTGTCTAGTGTCAGCCCTTTGAACAGTACATGTGTTTGTTTCTCTTCTACTCTCTATGTTCACATACTGTATTACAGCTAAATTCCTAATAAAGCTCTTCTCATGTATATATTTGTTTAATATATTTTATATATTTTCTGTTGACAACAGAACAAATACAAAGTAGTGACTGAAACATGGCAAATTGCAAAATTTAGTGACAATATCATTATGCAACACTAATTGATAAAAAACTGATATTAAGTCCATTTGCGATTTGTTTGGGATCAGTAATGTTTTTAATGGAGTCTCTTATGCTCATCAAGACTGTATTTATTTGATCGAAAATACAGGAAAAACTGTAATATTGTGAAATAGTATTGCAATTTCTAATATTGGTTTCCTATTTTAATATACATTCAAATATAATTTATTCTTGTGATGTAAAGCTGTATTTTCAGCATCATTACTCCAGTCTTCAGTGTCACATGATCTTCAGAAATCATTCTAATATGCTTTGAAAGGTTAAAAATGCTTTCAAAAGTTCAAAAGAATAGCATTTACTCAAAATAGAAATATTTTCTAACAATTTAAGTCTTTACTATCACTTTGTATCCATTTAACACATTCTTGCTGCATAAAGGTATTAATTTCTTTTAAAAAAATGTACTGACCCCAAACTTTAGAATAGTAGTGTATATTGTAACACAAAATTTATATTTTGAATAAGCATTGTCTTTTTAACTTTTTATTTATCAAAGAATCCTGAAATAAGTATCACAGGTCCCAAAAATATGAAACAACACAACTGTTTCCAACATTGATCATAAATCAGCATATTAGAATGATTTCTGAAGGATCATGTGACACTGAAGACTGGAGTAATGATGCTGAAAATTCAGCTTTAAATTTCAGGAATAAATTATATTTCAAAGTATATTAAAATAGAAAACTGTTATTTTAAATTGCAATAATATTTCACAAAATGACATTTTTTTTAAATTCGTGTTTCATTTCATTTATTTATTTTAAAGCAAATACAATAAAAAAAATTTAAATAAAATGTATTCCCCAATTTCGTTTGGTCTTCCTCATTACAATGGTGTTAGACTTCATACTGGCACCTATTGGTGTGAATGCATTGTATGAAAAATTTGCGAAAAGGAAATTTGTGGAAAAAATATTTCTCTCTCATCATACACATGGATGCTATTGATATTCTTGGATTCAATCCCAACAATTCTTTGCATGTTCTGCACTCTCATTGCCATGGCTATGTCTTGGACGAAAGCAAGGTATGGTCACAGTGGCTGTAACAACGTACCACCATTTAACCTCAATCTGCAGTGTGAGCTTGTCAGAGTTCATTTTTGATTGCTTCAACACTTTTTTTTTTTTTTGATAAAAATTGAATGTGCAAAACCAGAAAGTGCAACTACAACTACAAAAAGCACAAGACTTTGAAACGTGGACTGCTTTGTTGCCATGGCATTGAAAAACTAAACAATGACCACTGGTCAAACTTTCCAACAAGCCATAAGTGTGTGAAAACCAGCACAGATGACCAATCATATCTGCTGTAAACATCCTTAGATATAACTGAACCAAAAAATGTTTAAACAAGGAAAACTGTTTCAAACGTAAGAACATTTTCCTATAGCTCTGCAAAAAATGATGTTTAAAAACCACAAAAAAACTCAGTCATCATGGCAACCGGGGAACTGTCCAACATGAAATGTTTCATATGACTTTAGCTTTCCATTTGACATCAACGTTTCCCGCTCTGAGAGTGCACTCCTGTGTTTTCCATGTGAGATGATTAACTATGAACCGGAGACCATAATGATTGCCGTCAGTTTCCTGAATGCTGTATCCACTGCTATGAACACTGGGCTTTTCACACAGGGGATTATATGTTGGGTTATTCTCTTCTCTCATTCTCTTGGCCCAGATGACTCACCAGTCTTGAATGAGCTCCATTGCATAACAGAAAACAATTGAGTGCGTGTTTATGTATGTGTGCTTCACAATGATCTCTCAGTATGTGAGGGTCCCACAGTGGGGGTGTGTTTATTTGCATGAGTGGCACTGCTTATTAACACATATGGATTTGTACTGTATCAATTAATGAGAGTGAACTCTGGGACAGAAGTGAAATATGACTAAACATTAAAGTAATAATTCTCTCAAAAATTAAATTTCTGTTACATTTCATGTCATTTCAAACTAACAGCAATATGAGAAATATGGGAACAGAGAAAAAATGTATTTTATATTACACTGCTTTTGCATATGCTTGTAAAAGTTTAACATTCCTCCAAGAAACATTGTGTTTGCTCACAAAACTTTTGCGTTCCCACCCAAAACCCTGCATTGACTTGCATTTTTTTAGCAAAAATATTGCATTCTGCCATGAAAAAGATTTGCAAGTGATCTCAAAGTTAGGGGATTTTTTTAGTTTTTAGAGGAACGCAAGAGTTTTGAAAGCAACACAAAGTTTTTTAGGGGAACGCAAAAGTTTCGAAAGTGAACACAAAATTTCTTCGGGGAACAAAAGTTTCATGAACAAACAAAGTTTCTCTGGGGAATGCAAATGTTTTGCAAGCGAATGCAAACTTTCTCTGGGAATGCAAAAGTTTCGCTAGTGAACTTGGAAGTTTCTTGGGGGAACAAAAGTTTTGAAAGTGAACACAAAGTTTTTTAGGGGAACACAAAAGTTATGAAAGGGACACAAAGTTTTTTAGGGGAACATAAAAGTTTTGAAAGGGACACAAAGTTTTTTAGGGGAACACAAAAGTTATGAAAGGGACACAAAGTTTTTTAAGGGAACACAAAAGTTTTGCATGTAAACGCAAAGTTTCTTCAGGGATCACAAAACTTTTGCAAGTGAACAAAAAGTTTCTCGGTGGAACGCAACATTTTTGCAAATAAACAAAATTTCTCTGCGGAACTCAAAAGTTTTGCAAGCCAACAAATTTTTCGAAAGTGAATGCAAAGTTTCTCAGGGAAACAAAAGTTTTGAAAGCAAAGGCAAAGAACCTTTGGGAAACACAAACATTTTGCAAAGCGAACACAATATTTCTTTTGAGGAACACAAAAGTTTTGTGAACGAACAGAAAGTTTCTGGGGAACACAAAAGTTTTGCAAGTGAATGCAAAGTTTCTCCAGGAAATGTAAAAGTTTTGCACATGAACACAAAGTTTCTCCAGGAAATGTAAAAATTTTGCACATGAACACAAAGTTTCTCTGGGAAATGCAAAAGTTTTGTGAGTGAACACGAAGTTTCTTGGGGAGCACAAAACTTTTGAAAGCAAACACAGTTTTTTAAGGGGAACACAAACATTTTGAAAGGGACAAATTTTCTCTGGGAAATGCAAAAGTTTTACAAGTGAACAAAGTTTTTGGGGGGAATGCAAAAGTTTTGCATGTAAACGCAAAATTTCTTGGGGGAACACAAAAGTTTTGTAAATTAACAAAATTTCTTGGAGGAACACAAAAGTTTTGAAAGCAAACCATTTCTCGGGGGAACACAAAGGTTTTGCAAGCCAACATAAAAGATTTGCAAGTAAATGCAAAGTTTTTGGGGGAACGCAAATATTTTTCAATTGAACACGGATTTTCTCTGAGAAACACAAAAGTTTTGCAAGTGAATATAACTAATGTTTCTACAAAAAATTGTGTCTGTTCCTCACAAAAGCAATTACATGACTAAGACATAGATTAGCACCAGTCAAAAGTACTACTTTTTTAAAGCTGGTGCTTTTTGTCATTGGAGTTTGGTTGAATCCATCTACATTCACTTTCATTGTATGTGAAATAACTGCCAGGGCATTCTGCTAAACAACATCTTTTGTGTTACATGGTAAAAGGAAAGTGGGTTTGGCACATGAGGGTGTGTACAAAACATTACAAAAACATTTCGAAATCCACATAATTTAGCATAAAAACAAAATAGTTTTCCATAGCAAACCCCAAATATCCTGTCTATCTCCCTTTCATGACGTCATGTGACACACGCAAGGATCACAGCTGTATTTGACATGTCAAAGTGTTACAAACAAATCATTCATGTTCATTCTCTTCAGCAGTCAACTGAATTCAGTTCGTAAAAGGGTAACGATTTCAGTGCATTGAATTAAACACTGAGGCCATTCATTCATACGTTTCACAATAAAGAAAAAGACGCCCAACCTTTTGCTTGTTTTTGAAATGTATAATTATAAAATCCCTTTGTTGCAAACTGACATGATTTGTGACATTATATATCAAGAGTTACTTAGTCAAACTAAAAGAAAGACCCATAATACTCAATAGCCAGTTCGGAAATGGTACAACTGAGAGTGAAGGAGTGTTGATTTATTGTACTGTCTGTCTCCACATGTACTGTATGGAGGAGACAAAGAGAGTTGTGTGTATGTGGGTGTGTGTGTAATTATACATCTGTATGAACCTGTCAGAGGACTAAATCCTGTACTACTCAAAATCAGGGATGGGTCATGGTGGGCATTAGTAAGTTTGACTAGTTTTCGATTTTCATTTTAGTTTTACATTTTTAGTGAGCATTTTTGAAGGATTTTGTTAATTTTTTACTTTAATATTCAGACAGTTTGCACTCTACAACTCTCTTGCTGCAGCCATATACATACCATTCAAATGTTTGGTACTTTTTTATATCAATATATGTTTATTACTTCTATTTTAAATATTTATATTTGAAATAGAAATGTTTTGTAACATTATAAATGTCTTTACTGTCACTTTTAGTGCTGTCAA